ATAATTTAGAAGTTGATTTTTGCAGAGGGTGGAACAGTGGAGAACACTGAGAAAAACCCTCAAATGACAAGAGAGAGCCATCAAACAGCTCTACTAACAAACGAAGAGTCCGAGGATCGAACCCGGGTCGCATTGGTGAGAAACGAGCGTTATGGTTTTCACTGCTATCCCGTGACATAGTAGAGTATTTCTAATAATACTGCTGGTTTCTGATTACTGGACCCTCACTGCAAGACTGACTGACCGTATGTTGTGTGAACAAAGAATAATGTTATTCTACAATTACAGGTGGTCCTACTTATAAACGACATTAACCTGCTACACCCTGCCACGTGACTCACTAGTCATTATTAGACGATCGACTGCTCGTCGTAACTGAGTTCTCCTTGCTGAACCTTCAGTCATAAACTAATTTGAAATGATTTTTTTTTTTATGGAGAGCAATTGCAAATATTACCTCTATATATATCCAGATATATACTGTAGATAGCTTTGCCATGGTTGGCATGGCAACAATAAAATCACATCTATTTATAGCAGATGTGATCTCAGTTATAATCAACTTCTACAGAAACATATCGGAATTCACTATAAAGCCTTTAAATAAATAGGTGTGTGAATGCAACATTTGATTTAAATTCAAAACAAAACGCTATCAGATCCGCCAGCCATATAGTGTTGTTCACGTGGCCATGTCCGATGAAGAAGACGAAGCGATAACTAGTAAAGAGTACTTGATCAAGTTCTTAGCGCTTGGTGATTCTGGTGTGGGGAAGACAAGTCTACTTTACCAGTACACGGACAGTCGTTTCAACCCTCGTTTTGTTCCGACAATTGGAATCGACTTCCGAGAGAAAAGAGTGGTATGTTATGAGCTTTTACAACTTGTTCATAGTACAATAATATGTAAGAGTATAAACAACCGACTCTCTGCACTTTCCTTTGCTTTTATCAATTGGCATTTCCTCGTCAACAGTTGCAAGTTTACATATGAAATATCGAGAACAATACTTATGTAAAACCTTATAAAGATCGAATTGTTAACGGCATTTTTAAATTGATTCCTCGTCCGTTTTACTTCATCGTAGTAACAACACTAACCTGTCATTATCAAAACAAGTACTGTACACTTGTCACAGTGTTCAATAGCAACCGATGATGCAACGAGCTGATGTTGTTGTAGTTATATATATATATATATATTTTTTTTTTCTTTCTTCAGAGGGTCCATGCCAGTAGGGGTCGTAATCCCATTTCCTAGCCCCCTAGACCAAATCCCATAGTCGCAGCCCATGTTTTGCTCAAATATCAATCCCGTTCCCATTTTGTGATTGTTTTTTTGTTTGTTTGTTTGTGAATTCCATTTTCCCAGGCCAAAAAGGGCGAATCCCAGCCATCCCATTTCACCCCTTAAAGGACCCCCTTTTTACATCGCCCTAAAAACACCTTCGGAATTTGGTGAGAACACTCAAAACAAGGTCAACTTGGTAATTGTTGTTCCAAATCAAAAACAACAACAACGACAACGACATACCAGTGCAATGAGTAAGGTAACTAAATGAGTTCAGGGGGGATCCAGACAAAAAATATGGGAGGGGGAGGGTTATGACCAAATTTTGCGAATGACCACAAAACTTGGAAAAACAATGTAAAAAAACATGCAAGTATTTTTCACCAAAAGAGACATAACCAACGTGCAGAAAAGGGGTATACAGCCCCCCCTTTGCACCCCCCTGGATCCGCCCCTGAAACTTCTGGTTACTTGATCTAATGACTGACTCTGCTTTACCACTTGTGAAAAAATGCCACTAGCATCGCTTTGATGTTTTACGCACAACCATTTTTTTATTTTTTATTTTTTATCTTTTTTATTTTTTTATGTTAGCTTGACATAATAGTCTTTGTACTATGTACTGAACTAGGTAAATACTAATTCTAATATTGTTTGTTTACTAAACGAGGCTAATACTAATTCTAAAATATCGAATATGATATAAAGTTAATTTTGCCGCCCTCAAATATATAAAACATTAAGCTTTGGTCTTATCCAATCACGATTCTCGTTATATTCCATGTATCGAATCAGAAGGCTTGTTATATGTGTCTATTATTATGTATGATGAGACAACAAGATTCAAGATGGCGGACCCGGGAGGTGATTACGATTATCTGCTAAAATTCCTTGCTCTCGGCGACTCAGGCGTTGGAAAGACGAGTATTCTCTATCAATACACAGATGGATCTTTTAATCCTAAATTTATATCTACAGTGGGGATAGATTTTAGAGAAAAGCGTGTTGTAAGTAAAAAAATATGGTTTGATGAACGAAGGAAGGGCGATTCTTCATTGCATCCCTACACGATAACTACATTATTGTAGCTTGTATTTATTTGATTATTGAAGAAATACCTTTAATTCTCGAATCTCGAACCAGATTTATTTTCAATTCTATATGTTGTAGGATGAATACTACTGTCTTTGTTGTCTTGTTGTATGTAAATCTGTTCGTCTACTTTCAAACACGTCAAGCGGAGCAGCTGTTTTTTTCCTGATCAAAACAACCGATAGATAGCCGTCTCGTCAAAAAAAGAAAATCCTTCTTGTCCACACTGTAACTTGTATTTTAACATCAGGTTAAAATATTTCAAATATGCCAGGTTTTAGCATTTGTATTTTCAATCGAATAAGCATGTGCTGACATTTGTCAAAATATTTATTCCTCGTTAAAATTTTTCAAGATTAAGTTTGTTTTTGTTATAACTTTAATTTATTTTGTGGTTCTCATTTTCGATAAYTTCAAAATGAAATTCCATGTTCTTATATATTTGCTTATTATCATTGGTGTTGAATGGTTTTATTAAAAAATATTTAATTTTCAAACTTGAATATCTTCGTAAATTATTCACCTGCCTCAGTAATAATAATTGTCTTATAGATTTTCTTTCCTGATCGTGCGAAYTCATTAATGTCATTCATAATGCATGTTGTATTGTGAAGGCAGTTCTTTAATATAATGTTAACTCACCTTGCTTGCCTGACAAGACCATCCTGTAGGGGTAGGGGTAGGGGATAGTACATCCAGTGATGAAAGCATTTTTATTTGTCTTTAGGTACACCATCCTATCAGTACAGATGGAGTGCGTTCAACACGAGGACAGCGAATTCACTTGCAGTTATGGGACACGGCAGGTCAAGAACGGTACTGTATGAAAAACAAATGACTTTAATAATTATGCTGACTAAACTAACGGGAATTTTGTGAAGAAATAGAAAACATGCGTGCGTGTTATGTGCWGTTATAAAGCATGCGGGGGTTGGCCGAACACAAGAGAAGTGTTAGGAGAAGCATGACATGTAGCAGCTGAGAGTGCTTCTCAACATTTCTGGAGTGTTCTGTCAATCCCCAAGTGCTTTATAATTCTACACAGCACAGCAAGCAAGTTTTTTATTTCTTTTTTAGGAATAATGCAATTGAAGTGTGTGCACGTGCTGTGTGCTCTCATAAAGCACACTCTCCCAACCAATCATTAAATGCATACCACTGTTATTGAAGACAGACTCATTCCTACAGGCTTAGCCTCATTTATAAGTCAGCTATTCACAGATAACTTTAAAAGTGCTTAGGATTTCAAAACATTGGAAGTGTTCAAGCTGCACATGCTATACATTACAGTTGACTTTTGAAAACAGTTTTTTTCTTATACGAGGCAAAGCCTGTGCTGAATGAGTTTTATTCATAAAACACCGGTATTTACTGAATTTGAAATAGGACTATTGACAGCTAGAACACAAGAGAAGTTTTTGGAGAATAATGAAACGTAGTGGAGTTTTTCTGAAYACTTCTCAAGTGTTCTGCCAATGGACACAAATGACGAAATAGAAAGTGCATGTGCTTKTGCTCTCATAATGTACAATACTTCCAACCAATCAGAATGTGAGATTTATAACTACAGTTATTTTATAATAATATGGAAATGACATGAAACGTTGAAAAAATTGGGTGCCTATGTCTGAAAATCTTACCACTCTTTTCATTACGTGCTGATCAAAACAAGTCTTGACAGGGGACTTGGGCAATGCACTGTCGTCAAACAAATAAATAATTGTTCAATACCTTTATGTGCTTTGATTGATAATAGTCTACTCGTAGACCCCTTGCATGTGACGTCAAAGCAGCTCAATTTGGAGGACAAAAAGAATTTCAATCTCATGAGAAATGAATAAATAAATTGACTTTATTTAACGAGGGTGACATACTGGTTCCTTTGTAGAATTGGAAACCTATAGTTAAGTCCTTTAAATTGAGCTGCATTCAAACAGACTGCAAGGGGTCTATCGCCCGATTTCCATGTCACCACTGTTGTCTTGATCAGCACATATCRTAATGAAAACAGCAGTGATGTATGTGAATTGTAGTGATTTGTAAATGATAATTTTTCAGGTTTAGAAGTCTAACTACAGCATTCTTCCGTGATGCCATGGGATTTCTTTTGGTATTTGATCTTACAAATGAACAGTCCTTTGTAAATATCCGCAACTGGCTTAGTCAATTACAGACTCATGCCTACTGCGAGAATCCTGATATCGGTAAGTAAGGAAACCCTATTTACCCATAGAACCTTTTCAAGTTCCAAATTACCGCTGTGTTCCTTGATTACAGTCTCATTTACTCAGGCTTAGCCTTGAATCAGTGTCTAATTGCCCTAATTCACTATGACGTCACATCAAAACAATCTTCAACAATCTATTGTTTAAAAGTAAAGGATCATGGTCGTCAGAGGGGGTCAAATCAACGCAAATTCTCCGAAAATTGTTCTAAAACTCGTATCAATCCACGAAGAGAAGTAGAATAGCCAGCAAATGCTCAGAATATGTTTTAGTGCATACTAACACATATTATATCTGAAAACCAGGCCATCTTAGATGAAACTGTTTCACTAGGAGCAAATTTTGTTGAATTTTCTATTGGACTTGGCGATTCTATCCCCCACATAAACAAGCAGTGACATCATAGTGAATTAGGTCAATTAATCACAAATACCAACRGTAAAGTAAAGAATGCACAACTGGAACAATACAAACACTTTGAAACTTGAAAACCTTGACTGGAACACATGAATATTCTTTCACAATTTAATCGAAGCTAAGCATGAGTAAACAAGTCTGTAATCAAGAAACACAACAGTAATTTGGAACTTGAAAAGGGTCTATTGCTTCATGACAGAACCATACGAATTACATCTACGATGCCTAATTGTTCTCTGGTGCAATACTTTGCCAGGCATTAGCGAATATTTTGTTACAGTTACTACGGATCTCATCGAACAGTGGTGACAGGTCAAAAATTTGTCTCGCTACAACACCCTAATTTGTCTACTGACACGCCTACTTTTGTCACTGTCTTGGATCTAGCACATTGCCAGTAAGGTATTCACTGTAATACATGTAACAAAATTAGGCGTGACAGTAGACGAATTAGGGTGTGGTAGYGGGACAAATTTTTGACGTGTCGCCACGGTTCTGTGAGATCCATAGTAAATCCAAACATCTGGGTTTGGATTAACCCTGTCATTTTTTTTAGTATCGTTATTTGAATTTGCTGTGCAYGTAAATGATTAATTCACCTTTTTTGCGCTAGCCGTCACATGGCATAAATTGTGTTGGATTGTGTTACGGTCACCAAGAAGTTCGGACATTGTTCTCGGATTTCCATACAAATGTACTGAATCTAAAAGAAACAATTTACTTGGTTCATTTAGTTAGTTCTCTAAATACAAGTAAAATATCATTTTTCTAGCTTGATTAAAGCTTTTCTTATTGCTGTTAAGATAGCTAACTAAAGAAATCTATCTAAATTTTCTCTTCAAACTCAGTGTATTTGTATGGGAATCAGAGAACGATGAACTTTTTGGTGACCGTAACACAATCAAACGAAGTGTTTACGACATGACGGCTATTGCCGAAAAGGTGAATTATACAGTAATAATGAATTATATTTACCAATTATATCAATGAGTTATATTTGTTTAAAAGCGYATCAACCTGTAATCCAGTTTCTTAAAATACAATGGGTTTGAATAAACAAGATTAAGTTGATAATCTGCAGCTTGCCGGAAAAACCAAACTAAGAAAACTGTTGACACCTAAAAATATATTTCTAGAGTATTAATGGTGTTTAACCACAACCAGAGAAAACCCTCGTGGCAAGGGAGAGAACAACACATCAAACAAACTCAACTCACATATGATCCAATCTGAGCTGGGGCTCGAACCCAGACTACAGTGAGCAGTAAAGCACTACATCACCCATGCCACCTACAGTATTTATGATTATTATTAGGGGACAAGGCTGATTTGTAATGTTTGTTTTATCAGTATTGTTAGGGAACAAGGCTGATTTGGAAGAACAAAGGGTCGTAGACGAAGGTGAAGCAAAAACACTGGCTGAAAATCTTGGTTTGAAGTATTTTGAAACAAGTGCGTCAACTGGACAAAATGTTACAAAATCAGTAGAAGCTTTACTTGATCAGGTTAGTGACCTTGTTGTTCTCTTTAATTTCACTGTTTGCCTGTGTGACCGTACGCRTACATCAGGGCTTAAATAATGGCCGATCAGTTATGCCGGTCATACCTCATTTCTGGCTCAACATTACTGGTCAAAATGACCAGCAAGGCAAAGATTTGAACACACAAGTCCCAGCTCTTACCGGATATTGTTCGATGTCTGGCYGTTACTATAAGCCTCTCTAGTGTGACCAAGTTTTATTCCTGGACTCAGTGTCACGTGTGTGAAGACATGGGTGGAGGATGCTCAACTCTCTAGTGTGACCAGGTTTTATTCCTGGACTCAGTGTCACGTGTGTGTAGACATGGGTGGAGGATGCTCAATTCTCTAGTGTGACCAGGTTTTATTCCTGGACTCAGTGTCACATGTGAGTAAAKTTTCTAGTTGGTTCCATCCTGTGCTTTGAGGCTTTTTCTCTGGCTTCTCCATTTTTGTTTTCTGCAAAGTTTTGCAGGTCTACGGTCTACTGAGGTCTACTGAACTTACAGTGCAAACCATACATGTGTACATATCTGTAAAATAGTACGAAGTAATTATTACAAAATAGCACCAATAAAACAACTGAAAACAAAAGACATACATGTGTTATGCACTATTTAGTTTCTGTGCTATTTCAAGGATATATCATTTGTACTCTCTTAATTTGTGCAAGTTTGTACAATTTCTTAACAAAGGTTCCACAGTTATATCACATGCACTCTATTGCAATAGACGTTATTCGTGGTGTGACAATGTTTTCCCAATTCAGCGTGACAAACCTCCAGGGGATTCATTTTCTTTTGTTTTTACTGTTCGAAAAATTCATGAGTAACCCAAAGGATACGAAAGGAATAACGATGATATCCCGACGAGTTGCAAAACAATAGCTTTTCCTTCCCCCAGAGGTTTGTCACGCTGAATTGGGAAAACATTTTCACACCACGAATAAGGTCTATTCTCAACTTTCACATCCCCATAATCCTTTGCCTCTTTGGGGGGTAACCATAGGGTAAAAACCCACTTAATTTGCTGAAGGCTTATCAGACAATGTTRACAATACCTTGTTTGGTATCCAAAAATGAAATGAAGAAGTAAAAAACAGAAAAAGATAGAAGCTTGAAGACGTTTAAGGTAAATTTTAAACATTTTTTCGTAAGTCAATACATTTTCTGTAAGACCAAAACTCTTGATGATCTGTACATGCAAAAATAACTTGAAATAAACTGATAATCAGTATTGTACAGATAAAAGCAGGTATAGTATAAATTCAATTAAGAAACCTTTCAATTTGGGACAGTTTTTTGATTGGTTACCCCCAAAAACGCAAGGCATTATGGGAATGTGAAAGTAGAGAATAAGAACAAGTTATTAATACTTTTGTTTTTGTACCACCACATTTAGGTTATGATACGGATGGAAAACTGCGTAGATCAGGCAACCCTACCTAACAATGTGTTCAATAACAACCCCAACAGAGGACCTAAACTCAGAGAAGTAGATGAGGCCAATGAAGAAACAAGTAGCGGATGTTCATGTTGATAACATGTAAGAAGCCRCCACTCTAGCGCAGCAATTAAGTTATTTATTAATACTAGTATTCAATGCATTAAAGTAAAATTAATCCATTCAATGTTATGTYAATATTGTCTTATAACTACAGCTGATCTTAAATTATAGAGACCTTGAGCATGACTTATTTGCTAGTTATGACAAACCACAAACCGCAGTTCGACGTCAGGCATTTTCTGTCAAACTATCTACATTTAGCAAGGCATCATAAAAAAATTGTTGCTGGAAGAGCTGCCACAGGGGCGGATCCAGGGGAGGGGTGCAGGGGKTGCGCACCCTTCCCTGGTTACACTTTGTGCTCCTACTTTGAAGATAACCATATTTTTTTTTGGCTTTGATAAACTGTGGTATACCTGGGTTAACAYTGTGGGCAGCACCCCTCCCTGAACAAAATCCTGGATCCGCCCCTGCGTCATATTGAATTTCATTGATTGAGTGTTTCTCTGTGTTTGCGGGCATATTTCTGGGCCTGATTMCTAGCGGTTTTAAGGTCTCTAATGACATAGAAATGTCGTCACTGCAAGACTGAGTTTTCATGAAGACATGACAGCCATTGCAATTAAAATATTAAAATGTTATCAAGCTATTAAGCTCTAATTAACAAAGTTGTTTTTCCCATTTGTTGGCCTGGGAACCTTCAATTTCATTTGGAAAAGTGACACATTCAGTTTTGCAAATTTTCTCAACGGGTAGAGATTAACTTTAGTATTTCTTTCCAATAATGAACTAAGTCAAAGATCCTGTGTTTGCAGTCCTGTAAGAGACAAGTACTATGAAATAAGGGAATAATTCAGAAAACAATATTTCATTCGCATATTGAGGAAAATGACCATTTGACACTAACATTCCAAAACAAACACTTCAAAAATACGTAACAAATTTACTTGTGGATCTTAATTTAAGTATTTTGTAGTTGTTGTTGTTGTTTTGAAAAAATCAAACAACAAGCRTAGAATGAAATAATTTAGTTCGATACCCTGCGAGCAGCCAGCCCACGGAGGGTCAGAAAAAACCTCTGCTYGCAGGGTACTGTATTTAGTTAGATGAATGTCTTAAAAAGGAAAGAAAATAATAAGGACTCAAGAAAGAGACTTTTACGCAACTATTTAAATGAATATACAATCATTATATAAAAATTAATAATATCCTGGAATGAATCATACATGTACCTCATTGTGAAGTGATTATCTGCAATGAATATTAGTAAGCCGCAAGTCTTCAAGCGGCGAGTTGAATATCACCATAATCACTGTCGAGCCTGAGTATAATTTAGTACTTGAATATTAGAGAAAAGACAACATTCAATATTAAACTTGATTATTATTACTTCTGCTCTCCTGGTAAACTGTGAAAAACCTCATAATCACTGCCCGAGCAGTGAATATCATCTCAAACTCACTGGTCACTCAACCAATCACAGCTCATGAATCTCTATATTCAAGTCTAAAATTATACGACATGTAATTTCTATTAATAAAAATACGCAGGTGATTATAGAAAATCTCACGTGCTGATTAGTCAAGAAACTCACACTATCACACGATAATCACCTCCAGCGATAATCCAAAATGGCGGCCAGCCACTTTGTTGCTGTTACCGGAAAAAAATGTCTTTTATCTTCTTTTTTCTTCTTCTTTTTTTGAAAGAATCACCTGCGTATTTATACTAAAACAATTATTTGCCTCATTTGTGATTATTGGGGAATATTTACCTTGCCGCTTGAAGACTCGCATCTCGGTAAATATTCCCCGATATTCACTTCGCCTTTGGCGAATAATTGTTAATTAATACTAAAGGGTACAGTACCTTAAGATATACTCTGTTGGCTGTATGTAAAAATCCACTAGGGGGGGTGTATCAGCTATGAGCTACACTGTACATGTAGTAATGGGTTGGCTTGGGTATGTATGTGCCATTTAGACTATTTGTACTGGGATGGATTTTGCATCAACTTTTTCAATGTGTACTTATTTTTGTGTCATATAAACTTAAGRGTTTATTCCTGGCAGATTAAAAACACAAGAACAAATAGTAAAAACTAAAAAGTAAAAAAGATTTTTTTCATTCTATACTTAAAAAATAATTAATACTTCTGGTTTTGAGTGCTCTGTTGCTCCGGGTAAGCCTTGATTTTGTGTCTAAGATATTCATGTTTTCCAGTGAGGGTATTGTTGAAGTTGTGCATTCTTTACTTTACCATTGGTATTTCTGGATATTAAGACACTGATTCCAGGCTAACCCTGAGCAGAGTCTGTAATCAATAAACACAGCTGTTATTTGGAACTCGAAACAGCTTTTAATTTACAGCTCTGTTCAGTAATACAGCCTGCAGGAAGTGAGTTAAAGAAGTATGGAAAGAAGTACAAGCCAAACAGACGTAGATGAAAGCTTCTCACGCTTTCAGCACTTCCTGTGTGCTATATTACTTAACAAAGCATGAAAAAAAGCTGTTCTTATTGTTTTATTAAAAAGGAAAACCCTTTGTTAGTTTTTGAATGCTGTTTTCTTAAAATATTCTTTGCAAAGTTTGCTGTGCTCCATTCACTAATATATCACAGTTATTGACCAACCAGAGCACTCGTACTGGTACCGTTGTACTAGCTATCTAAGGTATGTAATAATACTAATATTGAATAATGAACCAATAACATAGTAATAATATTAGAATCTAAATGAAGAAATTGAATTAATGCCGCCATATCGATTTTAATTTTGTGCGTTCATCAATATTAAAAAAGCCTAAATCCAAAAGACTAATTTGTAATAATAATATATATTTCATAGTTTATCATTSAAAGGTAATGTTACACCATGGATGGGATGAATAATATTGATAACTAGTACTATTTATTACATATTAGTAGGGTATAAGTTTAGGTCGGGTAGTTCAGTCTGGAGACATAAAAATCATGAAGACAGTGAACCATGCATTGGGTAATGGTGTATACTTTATGACCAGTGGACTATTGCCCGACTGTTGGTTGACATTGTTGAAACTGTCGACCATTCATTAGCCGAACATTGCTCAATACACGGGCGATGGTCAGCCAATTAATACATGGCCAACRCACAGCCGATAGTCGGCCATCGCTCGGTCAACACACGGCCAATTGTCAGCCAATTAATACACGGTCAACACACAGCCGATAGTCGGCCAACGCTAGGTCTACACACAGCCAATGGTTGGCCAATTAATACACGGTCAACACACGGCCGACAGTCGGCCAACACTAGGTCAACACAGAGCTAATGGTCGGCCAATTAATACACAGTCAACACACGGCCRACAGTTGGCCAACACTAAGTCAACACAGAGCTAATGGTCGGCCAATTAATACACAGTCAACACACGGCCGACAGTTGGCCAACACTAAGTCAACACAGAGCTAATGGTTGGCCAATTAATACACAGTCAACACACGGCCGACAGTCGAGTGACTGTGGACGAACAGTCACGTGATAGTTGACTGACGTGTCGGCTGGTCACGAAGTACACAATTACCCATATATTTGGTACATATATTGTTGTGTATTACAGCTTGATAATTTTACGAATGAAAGTGGCCAAATTTTTTCAAGAAAAAATACAGCTTAATGAATAAAATTATATGGCTGAAGATAGCCAAGCAAACTTGAAAACCCTAGACTCAAACCACTAACATGAGTTGCACAATGGAAAACGAGAAAATTTCCTAGAGCTGACGACATTAAAAAAAAGGTACCCACTTACCGACTTTGTATTATCGCTTTGACTTGCAATCGAAAAATGGTTGTAAGCAGCTCAATTTGGAGGACAAAACAAAAGAATTTCAAATTTCAAAAGAATTAGAAACCTATATGTCCTCAAAATTGAGCTGCATTCCAACGTGATGCCTGGGGTCTATTGAGTGTGTCGATTAATAAAGTCCTATAACTTCAGAACAACAAAGTGAAATGCCAGCTTAAATTAGTCATTCCTTCAACAGGTTGAGTGGAATATCCCACCAATCCTTGTACCCTTTAAAGCCAGTTCATTATATTTCTCTACAGCCTGTTCTGTTAAGCAAACATGGACTTGTGTTCCTTTTGCTTTAGCATAATCTACAGTTGTTTGCGGCACCTGGAAATAGCGATTTATTTACCGGAGTAAGGAAAACTTTAGYTCATGCTGAGTTGTATTAAATTATAATTTAACATTTTACTTACTACCTTGCTTCTCATTAGCCAAGAGCCCTCAACCAATACATGATATYATGTGAACTTGATAAATGTTAGCCTGCGTAGCGGCCCAAATGGGGAGGGGAGGGGGGAAGGGGTGGGGGGCCTAGGTGGAGGATAAATGTATTATTTGTAGGTTGTTCTGCAGATATTACATTTATCATGTCAAGTTTATTTAAGGTCACAAAATAGATTGAAATCTGTTTGCTATTTCTTTAAGAACAGAATTAAATCTTTATTCTTATTTTTTAAAACATGTACATGTATAATAATTTAAAACATTTATTGAATTTAGTTTTCGCATGATATTGTATTAACTTGTTATCAAGACCTGGGCTGTTTTATCCACTCTTAGGCTGTGGCTTCAACAGATAACATGCCTTTGGTCTTGATAATTTAGGATATCACGCTAAACCTCACGCAATAATTGTACAGTATGATAATCGGACATATATATAATCTCTTCAAATGATATGTAACTTCAATTAAAACACCAGTTATTTTTTCATTAAAAGCTGCATGTTTTGGCAATAAAGTTGTTATGCATTTCTAGGCTGAGCGCTGGGGRTTTAGGGTAGCGCGCCATACTAGTTAATGAACCTCTCTGCACAAGACGGCAAATGTTGACAAATGTTTGCATGATGACAACCAAAATGCTTCACATTTTTCTTTCTCTTAAATTCAAATTTGTATTTCCTCATGAGAATAGTAAGACAATTGGTGCTAATCACACCGAACGAAAGAAAGTGTGCAAGGGAATCTGGTAGTACTAGTTGATGTTCATGGGCATCGTTTGTGCACATACTTTCAACGCACAAATTTATTGAGTGTGCACTCACCTTGATGATGTCATTCCAATTTTTTGTTAGCAAAATATAATGAAAATGTCTTAATCTCTTTTATAAACCCCATTTTTTTGTTGCTTATTTTACTGTTAGTATAATGCAAAATTTTTWAAAAATCTGACATTGGGAACTTTTGCCTATAATACGCACTTCCTTATGATGCCATAATGCAAGTGTMGCTATTGGGATGAGATATATCATTGATGTTGTTAGTTACCTGAAGTACGCCCTGCWTTCCTTGGCTGATTATCAAGGTATCAATGCCTTTGGACAGGATTTCTTTGACATCATCTGGCTGTACCCCTGGACTGTGCTGTGTACAAGATTATATAAAATATCTATCATAAATCTCAAATTCTGATTGGTTGGSAGAGTGTTCATTATGAGAGCACATAGCACATACTTTCTATTGTCATTCATGTCCAAAGTAATGGCTACTCTATTTTATATTCATTTTAAAAAACTTGCTTGCTGCACTGTTATAAAGCACATCKTCTTATAATACTTCTCTTGTGTTCTGCCAATCCCTGTGAGCATTGTCTATTTCTTCATGCAGTACAACATGTGTCATTTAATAATTCATACTATCCAATGATGAAATATGGCTAAAAGCACCTCATTTCTGGTTGGGTGGACATACAGGGTGGACTACATCTCCCTTCTTGCTCAGTTTTTTCCCCAGCGAACTGCRGAGATGAGAAAACAGCCCACCCACCAACCATTCATGTGGCCGTGTAAACACTGCTGACCTTAAGTTGAGCTTTGCAGCCTGCCTTGGTCAACTGRCCAATATGTTTTTCCATACCTTATTTCAGCTAAGCATTAATGAGAGAGTAATGATTTATTCAAGGACAGACCCAGCCAAAATCTTAGGGGGGGGGGGGGGCTAATTGAGTTTAGAGGGAGAGCAAATAGAGTTTAGGGGTGCTAATTGAGTTTCTTCCGTCAACACAACACAAAACAATGAGAAAGCATCTAATTCTTTAGTTTTGTTTTGTTCTTTTTCCTGCTGAAGGGGGGCTTAGCCTTCCCCCCCTGGATCCACCCTTGTTATTGGTGGTTGTTTATAGACTACAAACCTTAGTTCCTGTCTCATTCCAATCCCATTCTCTGCTACCTCCTGGCCACAGTTTACAGTCCTTGTACACTTGATCACCCACGTGCATTTTGCCCCATGACAATTTGTCCACAGTAGGGGAKGTGTTGGTCATGTTTTATGATCTACAGGGTCTGTCAGATAAGGATTCTCAATTAGATTAATGCTTCACATGCATGGCTTGAATAGACCCCTTTCAACACGTAGGAATGCAGCTCAATTTGGAGGRCATAACAATAGGGAGATTGAAATTCTTTTGTTTTGTGATCCAAATAGACGACTTGCACAAACAGATCAGGTGACCCTACCTACCTTAAAACCAGCAGTTTTGTCAAAATGAATAAAAAATAAAAAACAGGAATGAAGAGAGCATCTCGGCATAAGTAGGGAGGTGGAGTTTCAGCTCGTAATAAGCGAAACAGGATAAATGGCATTAGATATAAAATTGAATGTTTTATAAGGATTTGTATGGGAAAATGCGCTGGATRGCAAAAGCTTACAAGCCAACACTTTCCCATACAAATCCCAGTATAGAATACTTGCTCTTATATTTAATGTGGAGCTGAAACTTCACTGTCTTACTAAATTTGATGTGCCCTTTTCATTCCTGGAGTTCATTTTGACTCATTTTAAGGGGGATGGGGCCACATGACGCGTTAGTGCAGGTCGTCGTCTATTGAGCTCCTTTGATATCACATGTCTATACAGGTCTACAGTCAATTCAAAAAATGTTGTCGTTGACCAACTCAAGCCTAYGCGACTGGACCGAAAGGAAATCTGGGTAGTAATCATTGAAGCCGAGCTGCTGTTGTCGTCGACCAACTCATGCCTACRCGACTGGACCGAAAGGAAATCTGGGTAGTAATCATTGAAGCCAAGCTGACTCCATAATTTTATCTGACTAGTTATGCTTACAGCACGAACCTTCGTATAGGCGAGCGGGAAGTGTTGAAGGAGACATTTTTTTAATGCCTTCATATTTTCGGAATTGTGAACTGAATCATAACTACTTTGTTTTTCCTTCCCTAAACCCGAAGACATGCATTTGATGGATTGTTTCTCGCCATTATTATATTTACTACTAGCTGGAACAATTAATTCAGAATGAATATTTAACCGCTTYAGTGATTTTTACCCATATTCCTTTCAGTGCAGTCGCCTGACCTGCACTATGGGTTATCTGTGTATGAAATCAGTGAAAGGTCACAAATGGAATTTGACAAATTCAACTTTGCCWAATTATGTTTTTTCTTAGTATAAAGCAAGATGCATCAAAATCTTCACCAATGCAAATGTTTTTCTGAAATTGCTGATTTTCAATTMTTCCCAAGCGAATGAAATAACAAAAAACACGGGGGCCATGTTGGATGATATAACAACAGATACTTAATTAATGACGAAAATCTTTTGTTAAATTCATCCAACATGGCGGAGAATTATCTGCCCCCAGAACAGCTACAAGGCTGTTTCTATACGTATTATATTCATAGAATATTCAATTCCGGCGGATTTACCTTAGCATTAGATAAACACCACGATGTTTTGATCTAAATTTGTGCGAACACTCTTCAACCGATACCAGAATGTTGATCCTATGTGTTATCAGCTGCTCGATGACGTCATGTGTATTGGGCACAGGTAACCCATCAAGAACAAATATTTCAGTGAGCAAACTAAATGTCTGTGAAAAGTATAAATAATATAGAAAGCAATGAACAAATAGTCAAGGAAAAATAAATATTAATAATAATAATACTTAAACGCCTTCTTGTCGACTACCACAAACATTTCTCCTGACACCCCCCCCCCCCCCCCCCCCCCCCCCCCCCCCCCCCCCCCCCCCCCCCATCTCTTCCATCCAATGAGTGACGTCATCGTATAGAAAAACGACTTCAGGGCTCAAAACGAAGCCAGTTCCGTTAAGATTTTCGTTAAATTTTCTTTATGACAAGATTTTATGTTCAAATAAAAGTTTTAGGTGGAGGTTAAAGATTGAAAATCTTTTTGTGTGTTTTATTAGCGGTTCTGAAGTGGTTTGAACCGGAAATACGTCATAACTTATGCAGATTTATGCTAAGTTATTCTTGATCAAATGTTACCAGTCAACAAGTCATGTTAGCAACAGTACAGTAGTATTATATCGTTATATCTAGTGATATAGACATGGATTTTGCACCTTGATCACGGACAATACAATATGTTAGAGATCGATAGGTATAAAGCACGAGGCGATGCTCCCGCTCAAGATATATTACGATCGAATTCACACGCACGAGCCATCAGGAAAGCAGCCGAGACGCATAAAGAGTTGGAGAGAATAAAAGAACGCGTGATCAGGGTAAGTTGTGTCGTATACGGACGAATAAATCCATGTAGAATTAAACGATGATGCCTTGTTGTCTTCTAGACCTTGGATACGTATGATCTAAGCGAGAAACTCTCAGCTGGAGTAGACAAGACTCAAGTAGATCGCATAACTGATGAGTTTATTCGCGAACAAGCGAACTTGGAATTTATAGACGACATGGTTAGTTTTATAAGTCTAGATTCATATTGTTCTATTTGTAATCCGTTAATAACAGCCTTACTAAATAGTTCATTAACGACGAAAACTTGTGTTGTGTAAACTAATTTTTCTCTTGGGACATGTTCTTTGTGCTGAAAGTCATCGGGCGTCCATGATTTAACACCATTTAACCCCTTTGTTTGCTATTCCTAACCGTATCGAGAAAATCATAGTGCATATACCATGACACGAGAATTGATATCATTTGGTTTCTTTCAGACACAATTAATGGTAATTTTGAGTGACCCCGTAGCAAAGAGAAAGGCAAGTATAATCGAAAATATAATCCCTAAGGTTAAGTAATTGCTGGGCATGCTCACATCTATATAAAATTATCACATAATTTATCTTTTAGTTAAATCCAACGAGTGATCTATCATCAATGCTGCGTTCTGATTGGATGAGCTTCTACTGGGCTATAAGTTATAACCTAGTAGTAGCAAAAAGTGCCGGCTTTGAAAACCAAAACATTAAATTTAACTTTAATTTAAAACTTGTTTGCATCTATATATAGGACCGACTAGTTGGATTTGACTAAAACAATTAGTCCTCTCACTCTCATTTCCTATGAGTCAATAGCCCATTTGAGGACATTCAAATAATTTTTTCCACGAAAAAATCTTGGACGAGGATCATGACGATCTTGGCCAATCAAATGTTGATTATATATATAATGCTCTTATCTCAATATTATTTGATTGATAAACACATCGATTTATTTATCTACAGTATCAACAGCAAGTTACTGTATTTATTGTTGGGTTTGAGAACCTCTGTGGTAGAAGAGCAAAGGTACGTAGTACTTATGTTATGAGCATCCACCCCTAGGGCTTAAAACAACTGCAGAACATCGGACAATGTCCGGCTAGAACTGAAACTTGTACAGTGAAATTTTTGCATTGTTGGTCATTTTGACCAGTAACGTTTTACTGGAAATGAGGTATAACCAAGCTAAAACTAATTTGGCCTGTAATCATTGTAATCAAGCCCTGCGCCCATTATAATAATAATGATAATAATAATAATAATAATCTAATATTTAAATATTTTCCGATATTCACTGAGGCTGAGGCAAATAATTGTTTTAGTATAAATACACAGGTGATTCTGTCAAAAAAAAGAAAAAAAAGAAGATTAAAAAAAAAATGTCCTGGAAACCAGCAACAAAGYGGAGTGATAGTGTGAGTTTCTTGACCAATCAGCATGCAAGATTTTCAATAATCACCTGCGTATGTTTACTACGTAACAATTAATTATTATAGTCATGAGAGTGTCATAATATTTTATATGAATTTATTTTTTCATTTCAGTTACTGGCTCAACTCAATGAAGTAAGTTAATTACATTAATTCAATCCTAGTACTAACTATTACTTCATTCAGGGATAGACCAATAGATAATTGATGGGAGGTTGCAGGAATTTATGTAACACCATATATTTTTTGTAACAACCCCTGTACACAATATTTTTGTGTTAGCTCGATATTGCTTTACTGATGGAAGAGGTTGCATGATATTTCTATGTAAGTGACGTTCTTGCTGATTTTTTGGGGGGAATTAACGCATCCTCCCTTTCAATTATCTAGTGGTCCGTTTCTTAGTATTACCTCTGAGACCCAAGCATATATGTGCTGTACATGGCTATTGAATTATGCGATGCACTTTGGGGAATGATATCATTAATTGTATCAATTTAATCTGTAGCTTTTCAATTTATTTTATGCAGTTCTTCATCCAGAATATTTCTGAAGATGATAAATTTGAACTGGAACCTCCTGAATTTGACTTGGACATTGTTGAAACAGAAGTCAGGTAAGKGATTAGCATAGAGTTAACAAATCGAAGTCAGTTTTCTATGGGTCGGTACTGTAATCGAACATGAAATGACMTCAAAAATGATCCAAACTCAAGTGGAACCACGAGCGCAGCATCATAACAAAGTCGAAAAAATTGAACAAAAAGACAAGTAAATAGTTTGAAAAAGTGCGAATGTCGGATGTCGTAAGCACAAGCAGGTCTAGCCTCTACAGTCAACTCTCGTTACAGCGGACACCCTCRGGACTGTCACTTCATGTCCGTAATAGGGAGCGTCCRCAATAGCAAAATTTTTTTACGGTCATTTCTTTGTCAGTATTTTTGTTGGGGATTTTTTCTCCTGTCCGTAATAGCAAYGTGTCCGTAATATCAGGGTGTCCATAAGGCGAGAGTTAACTGTATTTGATCATGGTTCTAAGCCAATCAGCGTGCGAGAAAATTCCAAGTTATGGTAAAATATGAAATAATATTATAATTCTTTCTAACAAATGTTTCGTTCTTTGATCTTGAAATTTAGAGAAGCATTGGTTCGGGCAGAGAAAGTAACAGAACGTTTGGCCAATGTATCGAAGGATGTAATGAAAGCCTTGGAACTGGCCAATCCCAAGGAAACGAAAAAGTAGGAATGATTGATATGATGATCTATCATATAGTTCCACATTTGCTATATTTTTTAACTTAATGTAATTTGTCTTTAGGGGGAAAAAGAAACTAGAGAAAGCACTCCATCAATCTCACCAAGACATCTTGTCTCTGACTGAAAAATTGCTTAAAGTTCAAAGTGGTGAGTGTGCGTGATGAGCATCTGTATATGCTAGTTAGGGACTGTCCACCTCTCATCATGGAGGGGTGGGGTGGTATGTGTTTTTGTGGGGGGGGGGGAGTGGGGTAATTTTTTTAAAAATCAGAATAACGCAAAAAGGGGAACTACACACAAAATCTGAGTTGCACAGGACATAAACTTAAGATTAACAAAGTGGAAAGCAAACATATTTTCTTCGACAGTAGAGGGGGGGGGGGGGTCAGAATTCTGGTATGGGTTACTTACTAAGCACTACCCCTGCTCTATGAAAATAAATGGTCCCCTAGTTATATCTGGTCACAGGGCTTAAAATAATGGYCAGACATCGCACAATGTCTGCGCAGAAATGGAACTTGTCCAGCCAATTGCTCTATTTCATAATGATGTCATGGTTTTTACATCGAATAAAATCATAGAAATTTAGGCTAAACTTAAGCTTAATTCTCTTCTTTCGAGATATTTAGCGTAATATTTAGTTGTTCTTGCCTTCACCAGCTCATAAACCATCAAATGTCATTGTGATTTAAGATGTGTTGTTGTCATTCCATTCACCTCCAGCGACCATGATCCCTAGTGTTAAAACAATAGTTTGTTTTGATGTGATGTCATCATGAAATAGGGCAATTCTTTTATTTGTCGGTCATTTTGGCCGGTAATGTTAAACCAGAAATGAGGTATGAAGCCCCGTTTACACTGATGATTTTTGCTGCAATTTTTGTGGCAACTTTCGGAAATATGAAATCTTTTGTCTCATCCTTCAAAAGAGACATTCGTCTAGGAAAATCTTGGTATCCTGAAAAAAACTTTACAAGTAAATTCTTTACCATCATTTATTATGAACAAAATTGCAAAAAGTCACAGCAAAGATTGTCACAAAAATCGCTAGTGTAAACGGGGCTTGACTGAGCTAAAACTAATTTGGGTGGTCATCATGACCGCTGACTGACCAGCTCTTATTTTAAACCCTGTGGTCACATGGTTTAACATAAACTGCCTGTGCTCACTTCCTATAACACGGTTATTGCTAATTAATAGGAGTTGATTGTTTAACAATGTCATAATATGAATGATTCAATGCAGAACTTGATCAGAATGAAGGTAAAATGAGTCAAGTCTACAAGTCAATGGAAATGAAGCAAGTAGAAATCGAAAGGTAAAAATTAAAAAAATAGCATTAAATTAATATTAGGGAAGCACGGSTGGTGTAGTAGTAAGTTCACTTGTCTCTCACCAATGCGACCCGAGTTCGAGCCCTACCGGGCTTGGTGTTCTATATGAGTACTCCTCGTATGAGTATGTTACTCCTTAAACTCCTTGAAAACTCCTTGAATTTAATTCACGTTTTGAAGGGCACTTGAATGCTCTTGAATTTTACGATTTTAGYGAAACTCCTTGAGAATTTTTGCTTTGATCATTACTTGCATGGTTCTGAAATAGATCTTGTCAGAAAGATTGGAAAATCTGAAAGTCAGCCATGTGCAACCACCGTGTAAAACCTTGGCATAGTTAGCTGAACATACTCCTTGAAAATTCATTTTTGGTTCTTTGTATACTCCTTTAATAGTCCTTGAATTTTAAGTGGTTACCTCAGCACGAACCCTGGTAGAGTTGTTTGTTGGTTCTCTCCTGTGCTTCAAGGGTTTGTCTCTGGGATCTCCAGTTTTCCTCCCTCCACAAAAAGCAATCATAAATTCTAATTCAATCTATCGGTTGCTTTGTAATTGGGCCCTAGAGGGCCTCTAAGGCTTTCCATCCACCTAAGAGTGGTAAAGCTGCTGTCTCAATACTACAAATATATTCATTTTAATCTAATATTGTATCATTTTGTTTTTATATTAACAGATTAAAAGTTCAAGCTGACAATGCTAAGGTACATTATAAAATAAGTGTTATAAATCTCGCGTTCTAATTGGTTGGGAGTGCGTGCATTATGAGAGAACACAGCACATATGCGCRCACTTCTCGAGTGTGTGACAATCTAATAGTGCTCTATAAATGCACAAAGCATGCGCGCGTTTTGTGTTTCGTATTCAGTAACTTATAGTTACTATAGTTATTTTTTATGCAGCAAATAATTCATGCTCCTAAAGCTGTTACATCATTTGTGAAATAAATATTATAAGTCTCGCGCTCTGATTGGTTGGGGCACGTGCATTATGAGAGCATACAGCACGTGCGCGTGTTTCCTATTTCTTCATACGTGTCCCAAAAAAACTTCACTTCAAATTTGTACTTTATTGAGAGAAATAAAAGACTTGCTTGCTGCTCTGCTACGCCCTAAAAGTTAACTAAAGAAATTGTACAAATCATTGCAAAGTTTTGTAGGTCTACAGTGTGCTGAACTTACTAATTTGTCCACGTTTGTGCTATTTTTCACAAAGTTTTTCATGGATATATGGCATGCACTGTATTCACTCTAATTGAACTAAAATGTTACAAGGACACAGACAGATCCTTGGGAGTGTTATTAGTAAAAATAAAGAAATATATTCACTTACTGATGTCGTTCTCTGTCATTGTAGAAATACGCCGAAGAGATCAATGAAATGAAAACTGAACTTTCCGGGAAAGATAGAGAAATTCAAGCGCTTACAAAAGTAAGTAAAGATGTTGCATTTTAACTTGTTTCACTACAAAAAGACAACTAGTTAAAGTACTAGCGACTGTCGTAGCTCAGCCAGATGGCATTATTTATTTTTAAAGAAAGTAAAGAGGTATTAACCACAAAGAGGTATACGGTCCTCTGATTCGTAGATCGAATTAGAATTAGAAAAACCGGAGGAAATGGAGAAAGCAGTAGGAGAGAGAAACAAAGACCAACTCACATACTAGGCTCTGGACGCGGGGCTCCAACCACGGAGGACCCCTTTCACCAAAGTTTTGATTTGGTGAAAGGCTGACGACGCCTTAGCAGCGGACTTTGTGGACTCCCCGGCATACAACGCAAACTAAGTTAATGACCTGGTCATTTCAGAATAAGAACATGCGTAATAGTTAAATTACGAGCCTTGTATGAAACGACTTTTTTTACGCGACTTGAAATTGTGAAAGGCCCATTAGCCCTCTTCTTCAGTCGTTTCATACAAGGCTCGTAATTTACCTATTACGCATGTTCTTATATGATTTCCGAGCCCATCCCACACGGCTTACCGCCTCATCTCTCATGGTTAGTTCAGAAGAGGAGCACATCCCTGGATCCGTATTCATGATGGGTGTCGCTAGTATACGATCTGTTAAAATCGTTTTGTTCGACAGGTGACTAATGAATTGGAACTGAACATCGCTCAATTAGAGGACAAGCACGAGAGAGATTATGACAGACATAAGAAACTAAGAGATGAAAACGAGGTGAGTAAAACACCTTGGCATGTAGCTACCGTGATTAATAGAGACCTTAGCACGACGTTCTTGCTAGGTAACGCAAATTTCAACCAGTTCTTCAGGCTTTTTCCGTCAAACGTTCGACATTTATCAAGGCGTCATAACGAAGTTGTTGCTGGAAGAGCTGCCATATTGAATTTCATTGATGCTGAGTGTTTTTCAGTGTTTGTGGACGTGTTTCTGGGCCGTTTCCCTAAACCCGATGCCAAAGGTCTCTAATAATAAGCCACTGACAACCTGCTCTGCTTTTATTGGCAGTAAATATTTCGTGGGAATGTTACCAACATGCCCAATCTATTGCTAAATTAGTTCCACAGATTTTCGAATARCTTATGAAACTTCGAAAGGYTCTTATAAGGGAATGTATGTAAACACAACAGGAACTTTGACAATTTCTTTCCYGACTTGATTTCAACTGCAAAACCGAATTTTCTTTACCGTATCCTATAGGAGAATAACGTTCAACGAAAATTTTCCAGCTGCAATACTGCTATCTAGTATTTTTCACAACCCCCTAGAGGGTAGGGCTGTGTTCAACAACATGGCGGTGGATGGTCGACACTCCACTTCCAAATCTGCCATCATCCTTTTTTGAAGTCAACTAGATCCAGGATTTAAAATGACATTTGAATTGCTCTGCCTAATATTTGTGTAATTTCTACACCGCATCTTTGTGGCGTTTGCATAGTTATATCTTTATTTCCTGGACAACTCACTAATTCGTGCACTGATTATGAGTCCGTTAGAGCCCAACATTGCGGATTTTTTTCACTTACACATATTGGTCCGACGAAGGTGACTGGCGTCCGAAACGTCAGTAAGTTTTTTCATCTTTTCACGGTGTATAATTTACCCTTTATCATTACTGTTTCAYTAGAAACACCGACGCAGCTCACACTAGTATTTAGCTAGTTATCTCTTCATATTACAAGTATCTTGGCGTTACCAGACAGTCAGTCGAAGGGGACTTGACTGTAAAAAAAGTAAAAATGGAATTACGTAMTCATTTTCATTATTTTTATCATTGATTATTATTATATTCTATTAATATTATTATATTATTAGGAACTTAAAAGAGAATACGAAGGAAAGCTGCAAGACCAACAGCACTTCATAGACTCTATTCAATCAGGTTTGTTATCATTAATGTACTTGTAGAAAGCCCATTATCGATCGCTTTCCTTCAACTATACGTCGCAATCAATGATTCCAACCACAAGACCCATCTTAGGCCCCGTCCACACTATGTCGGATAAATTTGAATCCGAATTTTTATTTATTCGGTTAGGCCTACAGTSCACACTAGTCCGGGCGATTCACCGAAAACGATTTTTTTCGAATACGGTCTCCAGAGTGGAACAATTTGAAAACGTCGGCTAGCCATATTAGTGTGGACGGAAAACTTTTTTTTTCGGTTTCAGTTTGAAAATTCGGATTCAAATTTATCCGGCATAGTGTTGACGGGGCATTAATCAAACAAACTTGAGATCAGCTTCTATTGGCCCACCCTATAGAAGAAAACAATTTGAAACTTATCCAAAGTTGGAGAAAATCAAATAAGAATATAAGTGATGTAACGGGTTGTGTCACCCTTAAATAAGCTTAAGATCGGAGAGTAGTTTTTACATGTGAAATCAGTTTTCCCCTAGTAATGTCCTTTGCCATTTGTAAGTATTTTGGATTTCTTTTATCATTTTGTAAGACTAGTATCATTGAACTTAAACTTAAAGTTGAGGGCTAAAAATACCAGGTTCAGTTTGACAGAAGAGCGGCTTTTCGTAAAGAATGCTTTGAATCCTTCCTCTCTTACCATAGTCAATAGAGCTTCATTTTTGGCTTCGAAATAAGCAAGGTAGGACAAAAGCCAACCATGGTTATTTTAGCTTCATTTTTACCTCTATTAACTACGCTCTTACAAAGTACGAACACTGACCGAAACGCCCGTACAGTTACAACAGTATTTAACTCTCAATTTCTCACTGTATTGTTTTTATCATTAGATTTGAAGCAGCATTACGATGCTGAGGTGAAAAAGCTGAGAAGCGAACAAGAGTTGGCATTGTACTACCTTCKTCAAGACCATGAAACTCAAATAAAGAGAAAAGAACGAGTTATAGAAACGGTTAGTGCTTCTGAACGCGCCTGTTTAGCTTAAAATACCAGTAATTGTAGTTAATTAGAATGAATTAAGAGTGTTAATTCCTCGGTGACTTTAACTGACCGTAACACAAAACCATCAGACACGAAACACTAGGTAACCATGGCACCAAAGGAGACACCATAGACGATCACGTTTCGGCTTTGTTTCGCTCTGTTTAGAGTGTCGATTTGAACAGTCTTTCTAAGTGTACTGTGTAATTTGAATTTCCAATGAAGGAAATTTCTTATCAATAAGTTTTTTCTGGAAGGTAAGATCAACGTTTAGATTATTTAGTGAAGCTACTGGCTTTGTTGATAAGTAAAGTGCCCGTTATGGTTAAATCAGTTCCGACATGTTTGACCTCGAAGAAGACTTCATGGCTATCGATTAGAATGACTTTCCTTCTTCACTATTGCTATCCACGATGTTTGAATAGAACAAACTAAACTTTGTTAACACTCTGTTATATCGAACGAGTCTTACCACTTTGTATTGAATTATTTTGATATGTTTTATTGACTTTAAGCTCAATGTATGTTGACATTCTATCGTTCGCACTTTATTGTCACATTAGTGATATTATTTGCATTGACTAGTAAGGGCTCCCGAAATATTATAAAATGATCAATAAGAACCTTCGTTACGGAAAGTATACTGTCTGAAGATTTCCATACGCCAAGGAATGCTAGCGTGTAACTTCTGATGTATGACAACTAACACGAAAAAACACGTTTAACGAAAAATTAATTCTACTAATTTGATTTAATCAAAAGACAAAAAAGAAAAACGAAGAGCTGAGAGCAAGAGCAGAATCTACAGAATCTAGTCCACGGAACTCTCAGCACCCAGGGAGTCCACAGGGCAAATTAATCAGCTCACCATTTTCTCCTGACAGCAGTGAAGGCGAAGGGGTATTCAGTAGGTTGTCATTAAAATCATCGGCTCAAAGTATACGAATGATGTTACGCAAGGTACGTATTACTATCATAAGATAGGTGCTGCAATCTGCCTGGCATTTCAATGGTATCCT